AGTGACAAACCGCACCCAACTGTTGATGAAGTCACAGATATCGGTGATAATATTCGAACTGAACCCTGTATGGAAGACTTCTGGACGTTTTGTTTAGTCAAAGTATTCTCTAAAGCGACAAATCACACACAACTGTTCATGAAGTCACAGATATCAGTCATAATATTGGAACTGATTCCTGTATGGAATACCTCTGTACGTTGTCTTTAATCAAAGTATTCTCTAAAGTGACAAACCACACACAACTGTTCATGAAGTCACAGATATTGGTCATAATAGTGGAACTTAACCCTGTATGGAAGACTTCTGGATGTTGTCTTTAGTCAAAGTATTCTCTAAAGTGACAAATTACACACAACTGTTCATGAATTCACAGATATCGGTCATAATATTGGAACTGTATCCTGTATGGAAAACTTACGGACGTTGTTTTCAGTCACAGTATTCTCTAAAGTGACAAACCGCTCTCAACTGTTCATGATGTCACAGATATCGGTCATAATATTGGAACTGAATTCTGTATAGAAGGCAGCCAAGATGTTCTCCAATGCAATAAAACACACCCGACACTTGATGATGCAACAGATATTAGTGATAAGATTGGAAGCGAGCGCAGCATGGAACACTTTCGGATGGTATATTTATTTACTGTCAAATACGGCAGCCCAATGTGAGGCTACTGCAGGAGTGGTGTACATATATACAAAATGAAAGGAATTAAACAGTAATATCACATTAAGTGTGCCAAGGTAAACAAATATCACTACCCTTGAGTGCACCCCTGTAATAAATGAGAGAAATAGGACCTTATTATAATACAAGTGCCTCCAAAAAGTCAGACACACTGGTATTAGGTATCAAACCAAGTAGATCATTTCAGTGTTTGATAACTTTATTTGAACGTGTTAGAGAGCGCTACAAATGGCTTCTAGGCTGCATTGTGATTGCAGATCAGTGCTGTGTTGAAAGTTTCTGCACTTTGCTGGTAGTTGAAATATCCTTTAACATCTACAAAATGCATCTGACACTTCTTGATGAGACAGATATTGGTTTCGAGATTGCAGCCAAGCACTGTGTAGAAGGCTTTCACATGTCATCAATAGTCAAAATACCCTATAATGCAATAAAGCATGCCCAAAATTTTTTATGGGACAGATACCGGTCATAGGATTGTACCAGAGCACCGTACAGAACTTTTGGCAAGTTTTCCAACATAGCTAAACTGAATATCTTGATATTTTGAATATGCTTAAGTGCATGCATATGTAGTCCAAGTTAATGCGTATACTAAAAAACTGAACAGAAATGATGCAGTCCTTCGAAATACATACAAAGATTCAATGTTCCAAAGCATGTAATAATATTGCTACGTGCCAGTGCATGGAGTTGAAGAAAGTAAAGCAGATAGACTGGCACGTAACAATATATTCAGCTCATTACAGTATGGAGGAACAGATAAATACATGAACAGTTCTGAAAGGTCTCATAAGTCCCATGAGGTACTTTTTGCATTTCTTCAACACACCAACAGTACTAGTGCACCTTCATTCATTCTGTGCGTACGTGTGGTGACCTTCTCTTCATACTATCGTGTCATCGTGCAGCTGATTTCAAATCAGGTGCTTCTCACAAGGTTTTCAGTTATCTTTCCAGCTGTAAACAAAACGCGTGTTATATTATAGTAAACTGTAAAACGACGGAGAAGCGCCATTGTATGCTCATAGCTATGAGTATCAGAACGAACTATAAATTAAGAGTGTGTGTGTTAGAATACCTCCAAACAACGTATGTGCTACTGAGCGTGGCAGAGAAGCAGAACAAGCGAGAAGTGAAATAGAAGGCAATACCAGCAACACTCAATTGTGCAATTTCATTTTTCGATAACCACAGCAACGCACGTTCGAGTTTCTGTCTTGTACATGAATGGACATGAGACCGCTGACAGCTGAATGTGTCAGCGTCGCTGGTACCCGACACGAAATCACATCAGACTGCTACCAACCAGCGCACGCTTGTGATTAGCTTGGTGACACACGAAAACAATTTGCACCGAAGCCAACGAATGTCTCAGCGTCATACAATTCGCGAATACACTTGTATAAGTACGTACGATTTCACATAACCGAAATGTGCTGACTAGTGCGAGGTTCGCTTTCAGTGATGATAAATACCGATGTTGAAAATAAACACAGTGCAGATAAAAACTCCTCCGTATGCACTACGCGATGTTTCGGGCGTCGTATATGTTCAGCCAATGTTTTTCGCATGTGCTGGTTCGTACGAACTAGACGGTAGAGGCCTGCGCTGGATGCAGATGACACCGCTCTGAATTGCCTCCGCGGTAGGCAATGGCTCACGCTGAGAGCTTCAAACCTCCGAAGTCAGTTTACACTCGTTTTCAGCACAGAAAATCACAGATAAAAGTACAGGAACACCGATATCCTCCAGTAGTCTGAACGATGTTTTCGCTCGGCCGACGATCGCACTCAGGATCGGCGCAAGCCAGCCGGCCGGAATTCACTGGATTTGTCGGCGTCACTCAAACTCGGCACGAAACCACGTCACGCTGGTAGCACTCACAGTCGTTCGTCGTGTCGTTGTCGTTCTAGATTACGAAGCACTCATGCAGGAATGTTTGGAGTAGTTTCCGTGCTTGCTTTCAGCACTCGGCCGTGCCTTTGAAGCGGCGGCCATTAGGCACAGCATTCGGAGTCATCGCGGCCTCTGGTTGGTTGGCACGTGGCCCCTGGTTGGTTGGCACCGCTGTACGCGTGGTGACGTAGCGTACGCGTGGCAAAAATATCAAGCCCGGCTAGATCCCTCGCGCCTCCTCGCGTATGCCCCTCCAACGCCGACGCCGAGAGGCGCATTTGACGCTTTTGACGCGTAGACGCGAGCGTACGCGTGCCAGTGGTTGGCACTTAACAGCACTATCCCGGTATTTTGACGTAGTTTGATGGCCTCCCATATGCACCTACAAATCAACCAATGGGCTCGTTTTCGTCGAGACAACTTTTGAAAAAAAAAATTGGCCCACTATCTGCATGTTTCACTGCAAATGTCGTCGAAAGACGATTGATGATTCATTGATTGATATGTGGGGTTTAACGTCCCAAAACCACTATATGATTATGAGAGACGCCGTAGTGGAGGGCTCCGGAAATTTCGACCACCTGGGGTTCTTTAACGTGCACCCAAATCTGAGCACACGGGCCTACAACATTTCCGCCTCATCGGGAATGCAGCCACCGCAGCCGGGATTTGAACCCGCGACCTGCGGGTCAGCAGCCGAGTACCTTAGCCACTTGACCACCGCGGCGGGCGTCGAAAGACGATGATCTTGCGTGTGGATAGAGAGAACAAAACGTTTATTTGATGTTCTGCGCGATAAAATCAGTAAATTGTATTCTGGAAGCGCTGCCTTATAGAGTCTCGATCCGTGCAGCGAAGGCAAACTAGTGCATTCAGGCACGTTCGACACGAGCGCCATCTGGCAGTTATCTTCGAAAACGAAGGAAGGCGTGCGCGCCAGCGGAGAACGGTGTGCGTCTCTCTCGAAGGTGATAAGGTGTAGTTTGCAAAGCGACGGGCAGGTGCCACCACCGTGTCGTTGTAGCAAAGCGTTGGGAACACTTGCCTTTGTGAGCATCGCGTTGCACTGTCAGCGCCGCGTGATAAACGCTACGGTCCTTAAAATTCCTTTTGTGGGCCTTTTTCAGTATAAAGATACACATACGCGTTGTTATTGTGCCTCAGATATGTGCAATAATTGCCTTTTAATTGACAATAGCACAGGTATGAACGCCGAAACAAGCAATATTGGTGGACACTGCAGATGGGGTTGGCCATTGGAGGTATCGTTTGGTGCCGTTTGGGGTATCGTTACCACGGACAAACAGACAAATGTACAGATAGACAGGCAGAAAGACAGAAAGACCAACATTTTGGCGTCGAAGGTCCCCAATTAAGAAAGACTATCGTGTTGAAAAATGCGTTAAGGAGACCCCTTCCACTACATTACATTTATGTTGTGTTTTTCCCAGAGAAGCTGGAAGTAACATTGTGGCTTTGTGGTAGGACACCTGCTTGCCACGCAAACGGCCCGGGTTTGATCCTCAATGGGACCAAGAGTTGTATTCTTTATTTTATTTCCTTCTTTCTCTATTTATCGCTCATGGACGATTTTTCGCTCACAATCAACGGTGCCGACGCCAGTGGCGGAATTTCGGCGACACGAGCTGTCCAGCGGTATCGCGTTAAAAACAAGCCGCCACGGCGCTCAACGAAGCGGACGAATGAGCAGGCAGACGATATGGCAGAGAGTGGCCAGTGACATCATGCTGGTCGTGATTCACTAGTAGTATTTGTTTGTGTTTTAAAGGAACCCTAAAGAGGAAACTATTTCTCGCGTACTAATAAAGTACAATTCCACAGTACTGAAACTTCCACTCTTACCGCCAGATGACGCTCGGTAAGTGAGCAAATGCGGGAAAAGAAATCTGCGGGTGGAGGAGCCACCTTAAGAGTACCGCACCAAACACCGTAACAGATTTTGAAAGCGTCTACTTGATCCTAAGCTGTTGCTAATCGGTAAAACATGAAGTACATTGTCATCTGAGGGAGTCATAGACCCAACGAGCTAAGTTCCATAAAAGTTCACGCGGCTAGTGTCACAAAAATACGCAAAATACACTTTGAAATTCGTGACGTCATGTGCGGAAATCTTGGCGTGAATTTTGAAAATGAACTAACTATACTACGCGGTAGAAAACACAGATGAAAACACGCGGTGGAAGATGAAACTTCAACATTGATTTTCTCCTTTCATAGTGGTCATATGATGGTAAAAATTGTTACATTACGCTTCCGAAAGTGCAGTTTATGAATTCGAAGCGAGTCATTGATTTACTTTCATGTCCCTTTGGTATATGATCCACTTAGGACCAATTGAATGCGATTCGAGTGGAATATAGGGTCACAATCTAATCATTTGTCAACAGGTGGAGGAGCCAGTAAGTGGCCAGACCAAGCTGTTCACATTCACCGTGGTGTTCGAACCGGAGGCCACGCAGGAAGACGTGTTCGAGCACTGCGGCATCAAGCGGCTCATTGACATGGCGCTCGACGGGTGAGCGAACTATATTCGGTACTACGCTTACATTCACATTTTGAATGAATAGAAATTTCAGCTATTCGACATGGTGCGTGATGTGCGAAGGAGAGAGAGAAAATTTTATTTCAATCATAGAACAATGTCGGGTGGCGCTTTCAGTCCAGAGCTCCCACAGCCGCTGCTGCGTCTCGCACCCGCCGAACCAGCGCCCGCTGGGCACTCGGGCTTTTGAGTTTCGTAACACATTAGGTGATAAAGAAAACGTCAAGTATTGCTGTTATTCTGAAATAAAAATATATAAAGGGGCTGCTTTACTTCAACTGGTACAACGATTAACAAAAATAGTGACGATCGAGCTGGCCAGACAAAAACAGGGCGTTCTGTACTTTTGGCTGGCCTGCTCAGCCCGACGAAGCGATGAAATTATTTATTTACGAACAATTTTTAGAACGACAAACCAACTCGTCCAACTCAACGCTGATGCAGGTGTTCTATGACAAAAAATGTTGTCAGCTAACGAGAATTCATCCTAAAAGAAGGTAAAAAGTGTGAACATAAACGCATGGACAGACTAACGACGTGTGTGCTGTTTTTTGTTTTCCTTTTTATTTTGATTAGGTGTAAAAGCCCTTTCCGGATGAGTTTCTGGTGCTTCATTGCAATAATTAAAATGCTTGAGTAATCAAATTTGTTATTTCTGTCTTGGTCACTTCAAACCTTACTGACCGTAAGGGGAACTTAAAAGATTCACGGTGGTGGTGGTGGTCGTGGTGGTAGAAACATTTTATTACAAAAAAAAATGTACCAGAGAGTTGCGGCATATTGCATGATTGAGGGGCAAGACCCTATTCTGGGATGCCAACAGAGTTTGTCGCTGCTCGAGCGCGCCTCTCCAAGGAGCGTTGAGCATTCAAGGTTGAGCAGACGTGCAGGTACTCCTCCTAAGCCTCTCTAGTTGGGATGAGAAAAGGGGGTGAAAAAGGAAGGGGGTTAGTAGGGCACGAAGCAACGACGTGGTAGGTGTCAGCCAGGACCTGACAGGTTGAGCAGGTGCCACTGATTTCCGGCAAAAACTTCCTCTCGACCACCGAACTGATATAGGTGTTCATCTGGAGGCGGTGTAATATTCACTCGTCCGCTTTCTCCAGACAACTTGCGGAGTCCGGATACAGGCGGCGCGAAGCCTGGTAATAGGCACGAATTTCGCGAAAACGCGTTATATTCGTATTGCCAGATTCTGACTTGGGACACGGAGGGGCAACGGCCCGAATGAGAGAAGCGTGGGCAATGGCGTTCGCCGCCTCGTTGCCGGGCAGGCCTGAGTGGCCTCGGGTTCATACTATACGAATGGGGTGAGAGTTAAAGCGCCAAGAGGCTGCTCGAAGTAGGTGAGCTGCAAGCGGGGCGATGGAAACCTGAAGGTATCGGCTGAGCGCGAGTCCGTCAGGATGATGCGTGAGGTGAGATGCGAGACGGCCAAAGCAATGGCAACCTCCTCAGCCTGCGTCACAGTGTTGGCTATAAAGGAAAGGCCATCAGCGTGCTTTCCCTCTGTGTTCACGGTGGCCGTGAAGTGACCTGAGAAGGAGGGGCCCGAGACGTCTACGTAGAAAACGCCAGGGCGGTTGGAGTGTCGCGCCTGAGGGGCCGCGGAACGTTCTAGTCTGCGGCTTGGATGTAGCTCGGGGTTCATGTTGCGGGGTAGTGGTTGCTCCTATATAATTTGCCGCCAAAGTTCCGGTATGGGCGTCAAAGTGTCTTGATCTGAGATCACCTTGAGGCTGAGCCTGTGTAGTAGACCTTGCACTGAGGGCGTCTGCGACAGACGGTTGATTTGGCTAACACGATGAACTTCCCGCACACCTGTGAAGGAGTCACGTACCCCCACTTCATATCTGGAAGAGCAATATTCAGAAAGAGTTGGTGTCGCGCCAGATTCTTGAAGTGCCAACACGGCCGGCTGAGAGCCAAGTGAGTGGAGGAAAAAACAAAGGTGTGAGCGCTTTCGCCTGTTCCCGAAACCTCTAGAATTCCACTGTATGATCTCGAATTTTGATGACAAATTTGAAAGAAATGTACTGTTGGTAGCCATCATGAATATCCTATGTTTTATATTTCACCCTCCATGTCTAGCTCAGAGCCTTGAGGGGTAGGGAGGGGTACGGAGGCCGGATTGTTTGACGGCGAGGTGGTGGCAGCCAGCTTATGACAACGTCGGGGAGCTGATCCCGTACTGCAAACCAAAAAGGAGTGCAAACGCGATTCCTTGGGTTGAAACAGAGTAATTGCCCTGGCGTGAATGACCTGAGTGGCCTCTAATACAATGCGTTGGACTGAGAAGTTATCAATGAGGTAACTGATCGACACTTCGACGCGCGTAGGGCGATCCTCCATGCGAGTGACGCGTTCTTCACTGAGATGAATTGGGTTAGTCGGCAAGGAATCCTGAGGGGCTGCAGTAGCTACCGGAGCTTCCGGAGTAGGTGCGTCGGCTACTGGAGCCGGAGGGTTATTCGGAGTGCACGTAGCGTGAGGGCTAGCCTTGGGGGTTGCCGGCGCAGCCGCCTGGACAGGGGAGGCAGTACCGAGGGGCTTTGCAAAGCCTTGTTGTTGGGGAGCAAGTTGTTAAGTTAACAGTGCGAGCTGTTTTGTTAGGAATTCATTTTGCTTTTGAAGCTGCTGAACCTGCTGGCAAAAGCTCACAATTTCAGGTAAATGATAATTGACAGGGGGGACAAAGAGGCTTGGAAGCAGCAACTCCTGCCCAACTGCTCACTTGAGGTGCCACTGCCGGTACGAAGAGTGGTGGGAATGCTTGAGTGTTGGCTGGTTCTGAAGGAGCGGTCTGCTTCAGGCGGGTGCTTTCGTTCTGTTGTGACGAAGATGAGGTGGGCCCTCGATGCGATTTTGAAGGCAACCTGGCTTTCCAGTATTTTGCAGCACAGCCACTAGTCTCAGTCTCGTGGGTGCCGTGGCAGAAAAGGCACTTGTGGTGGCAATCATGTTCAGTGAGGCCTAAGGGGGCAAGGATGCCACACTTGGTACATTGTGTCGGACTGGGGTGAGGGCACTCTGGCGGCTGATGGCCGAAGGTGCCGCACCTTGTGCAGGCCGGAACGGTTTTCTTGTAAGGGCGAATAAACGTGGCCACGCACTGGTAGAAGGGGAGGCGGGGCAACATCGTGCCCTCAAAAGTCACCAGTTTTCGGACCACGAGGATGGTTAACCGAGACCAATAGAGTTCTGATGTTATCTTTTCCGTGGTTTCAGCAGGGTTGATGGTGATGACACCCCTGCACGTATCCACTGACGCCTTGGCGTGACCTCGGACAGGCAGCTGTCGATCCCCCACTTGAAGCTGGAAGTCACCGAAGAATTTCTCTGCCATAGCCAACACGGTAGTACTGCCGACCAGTATGTTTTGCTCCAAAATCATCATCATGATCATTATGATCATCATCATCAGCCTGACTACGCCCACTGCAGGAAGTAGTCCCACTCCCACATCGGCCACACTTGAACTAGTCGGTGGTCCAGTCACCCAGGTAGCTCCGGATTGCGTCGCCAGCGCGATCAGCCGGGACACATGTGCACAGCTCGATGAGAACGCATGGTTTCATGACCATGATGTAGTCATCTCGAGAGAGACGAGGCGTCTGGCGTGGACGCCACTTGCATTGCTTCATCGGCAGCGATGAAGGAGCAGAGCTAGACGCACCACCGGTGGGTCGGGGCACCAGCGTTCCTTGCACAGCTGGGGAATGACGGCCAGCTGCGGCGTCTCGCTGTTGCTGGGACCCAGACTTGGATTGCGCTTGCTTGCGTTTCGATATACGCACCATGTCCTCGAGGTATTCGTCTTCTGGCGGCATACCTCGTCCAAGGGAAGAAATGTCCATGGACACTACGTGCATTGAGACAGGGTCGTAGCCCGTAACCACGTTGGCCGCCACCATCGCTGGGCAGAGAGCCGCCACAAGGTGCTCTCCTGGCGAGGCGGCATAGACGCCGGAGTGAAAATTGTTAAAGTGTCAAAGCTGGCCCCACTTGCACAGGAGTGATGTCTAAGTCAAGCGTACGACTTGTTGGTGACGAGCAACCGAGAATTGAAGGGTGTAGAGATGGTGATCCGCAGAAATAGAGGAAAGTCCACGGAGCCGACGTGAAGTGCGTCCGTCACTATTGAGCGCTCACGGCGCCCTCCAATGATTCATATTGCCACCGAGACTAACTACATGATCCAATATTATGAAGGACCAGCGTCCACAGTTTTACGTGCGCTCATGCTTCCGGCCGTGTGACGCCTGCCTCTCGTGCACGGGCACGAGTTAGGGGGGTTTTCACCTGCGATAAAGACGCGCTGGCAGATGATCAGTTTTGTTTTGGAACGCTCCGGCGCACTGATTCATTTTTGCACTTAGTTTTCAGGGCATAAGTTTGCCTATAATAAATTATAGCTTGTGGTATTTATTCTCTCGAATCTGTGACATTCCGGTGGAGAAGCTGGATATGATTGGAAGCACCCTTGGTACAAGACAGCGGAGTTCATCCTCCAAAATTGAAAGCTGGCGAACTGACTCCAGTACATCCTCATTCAAGTCGCCGCCTTCGAAGAAAACCGCCTGACATTGGAACCCTTCCAAGTGCTCCAGCAACACAAGCAGAATCCACACACAACAACGGAACGATGGCTTGCCAGGTGACATCATCGACACTTATCCTGTCCCCACTGTGCTTGCCTGAGCCCTTCTACGGCAACACGTTCGAAGATGTAGATGATTATTTGGTTAGAACATTTTGAGTGGTTTGCAAATACCAACGGCTGGCACGAGGCAAGGAAACCGCATCGCGTGTACTTCGCATTGGAAGATAAAGCGAGGACATGGTATGAAAACCACAAAGTGGTCGTACCGACATGGGAAGAGTTACGACGACAACGGTAGCGTACGCGAGCACCGATCGTCGGAAGACGGCCGAAAATGCTCTGCAGTTCAGAAAACAGCACAAGAACGAAA